AAAAAGAAGTTTATTTTATTGATAAATTAGTTTTTTATAAAAATTTCATATTTATTATATATTTAATGAAATTAATTTAACTAAAGGTATAAATAGTTTTAAGTTATTAATAAAAATTTCAATAATTTTTGCAATAAGTTAATTGATAATATTAAAGATTAGTTAAATTCTTTAAAGAAATTTATTCTAATTTATCTATAATCTTAATTATTTTTATAAATCTTTTCAATTAATATATATTTTTTTAATTATAGAAAATATACTTTTATAATATTATTATGAAATAATCAAATTAAAATTAAAATATTATTATAAATGTCTTATAGCAATAGTTGTGTAATAAAGATAGATAAATTATAAATTTAAAAATTATTATTATTTTGCATCATTTTATTTTAAAAATGTTTATTATTAATAATATATTTAAAAATCCTAAAAGGATTAAAACTCTAAATAATATATTACAAAAATTGTTTTGTTATTATGAAGTAGTAAAAATTTTACAAAAATTTATAATTATAACCAAATTTTATTGATATTTATTAATATAAAATTTTATAAAATAACATTTTAAATTTATAATTAATTTCAAAATATTACATTTTATATAATATTTATTTTATTTCATTATTTACATAAAATTAAAATGTATTTTAAGTAAATTTTAAATAGAATAAGTTATATTTTATGATTTATAAATTTTATTATTAGTGAGTTTTACAATATATAAGTTGATTTATCATTTTTATTATTTTATTAATTTATTTATTATATATAAAATTTTGAAAAATCGATTAGAAATTATTTATTTTTTGTTAAAATTTCATTAAAGCTTTGTTGTAACTTTAAAAATTAGTTTATTTGACTAATTTTAAATATTATTCATAAAATTGTTAAATTAGTTGTTAATAAAACATTATTGATTTTATTATAATTTATGATAATTTTTTTTTAAAAATATATATTTATATAATCCTAATCCATAACAAATACTATTATATTATGTATAATTAAATAATAAATATTAGATTTTTGTAAAATATATCTTAAGATTAAATTATTATTATTAAATAAGAATGGATAGAAAATAAAGTTGTTAAAGTCAAAAATAAAGTTATTAAATTTGATAAAAAATAATATTTTTGATAATAAAATAAAAGATAAAATGATTTTAAAGTATTTGAAGAAATAGAAAAAAGATTTATTATTAAAGATTTAATTAGTATGAAATGCTATAATGTAATAATAAAGCAATATATATTAGATTTAAGAATAATGCTATAGAGAATAGAATAGAATTATAAGAATATATTAAAGAAATAAAAAAAAGATTGATAGTTTTCACATTGTTTTAAAAATATTAGATCATCAAAGCTGACAGTGATCAATTCAAAATAGATTTACTTATGCATTTAGAAAAGCTTAATAATTATGTTTAGGATAATTTTTAATTATTATTTGATAAAAATTAATTATTAATGAGAGATTTATATTAAAATTTTTATAAATAAAATTTAAATTTAATAAATATAAAATGAATGAAAATTAACTTAAATTATAATAATGATGATATCTTAGATTTAGTTTTCTAAATAATAATTTTTAAACCTTTTAGTTAATATGTATATAATTTTAACTAAAATACTGAATATTGTTATTTTTTTTATTTATTTCTTTTATTAAAATACAGTTATTCTTTAAAATCATACTAATTATATATACAGTACATATATAATTATAATCACTTTCTATCATTCATTGTTACAAGTTCAAAGAAAAATGAAAGCATTTGATCAATATCTTTGTTTATTTATCTCTCACCCATTTTGAATTTATCCTAAATGTTCCGAATCACGAGTCATTGAAAATTTTTACGTGTCTTCTCGGAAATCCGTCCATATAATAAACTTCCAGTACGCTATTGTAAGGTCCGTAATTTCGTGTATTTTACAAAAAGTGCTTCAAAAGTTGCTCCACGAGTATTTAACACAAACGATTTTCATATCACGAAAGTAACTGGTACAATATTTGAAATATTAAACTATACTTACGAAATCTGGATTTCTGCATGCATCTGCATCGATGCTTTATTAGTTTAATTAACATACAGGTTTAAAATATTTGCGTATTGATCCAAAATAAAATTTATTCATTTATCATAATGAAAAAAAGTTAGATGTAGCAACATAACAAATATTATAAACGCGTAAGATTATTATATTTTTCTAAATTAATTCTTTGAAATTTGTTTATCTGCAGAATGTTACGTTTCGGAAAGTTTTATTCGTTTGTTATCCAAGATAAAAAATAATTTTTTTTCTTTAAAAAAAAAAAAAAAAACAAATGGACAGTCGGGTGAAAGCTTAAAAAGGAATTATTTATTATTATTTTTTTTTTTTAAAAAAAAAAATTCGCAATGCAAATAAATAGTATCATTAAATAAATAAATTTGTGAATGGTTTCCCCCCAAAAATATGTATAAGTATTACGGTAAAATCCGAATGCTTGCATGTATTGAGACAAACAATAACGCGTTACTATTATGATTGATAATTATCCGAAATGATTTGTTTTTAAAATTCTAGCAGAATTGTTTATTTGCTGCTTTTACGTAAAATGACGTGTAAAATGAACAAAAGGATCGGATGTTCGTTAGCATTATCCCTTGGATTCCTTGGTACGCGCGAACGAGGGTAATCACCTTTGCAGCAGTCTATTCTTCAATTAGAACATACGTGATTAGACCAATTGTTTTCGATATCGTAATCGCATCTTATCTAACCACTTTTATTTCATGACAAAAAAAAAAAATTGTTAATTTCATTTGGATCGATTTTTTTTTTTTTGAAAGTTGTGCCACTTCACATAAATACACGCAGGATCCATTATAAAGTTACCTCATAGGATAACCAACACTAATCGGTATTCAATCGGTGACCAAATCGGTATTCGCTAACGTTTTGTTTCATATATGATATTAATCTGGCGTAGTAAACATCCGATTCTTTGTTCTCGTCCTTGTACCACACCAACTATAATAGAAAAATCATCATATAATTTCCGGTTAATCAATTCCAAGAACAATGGGGAAAAATAATAGGAATTCAAAATTGTTCAAATTCAGGTTCAATTCGGACTCTTTTTTTTTTATAAAAAAAAAAAATAAAAAAAAAATAAAAATAATAATAAAATGATAATGATGATGAAGATGATGATTCGTTATCTTTACATATCTTTCAATGATTCTAATAATAAAGTTTTTGTTGAATAAAAAAAAAAACACAAAAAAGAAATGTAGTTGAAGAATTCAAGGGTCTCCCACATGGTGCTCAGACAAGCATAATTATCACATTTTTGACCTTCCATACATTATTATTTAAGTAATATTAAAAATGACATCTATAACGTAAAAAGACAAAAGGATGTTGCACATATTATGGTGGTAGCGGTACTTCAAACACTTGATTAATACATTTAGGGAAGGTTGTCTTGGGACGTAATCATTGGGTGCGTTTACGATTGCGTTCCTTAAGTTATATGCATATATTTAAAAAGAGGTGAAATTATTTTTCACATGCTCAAGGTGAGAGTGAAATTACACAAACGACATAATCTACAATAAGTATAAATTATATAGATAATGATATCAATTTTTTTTTTTTTTAGTATAAAACATTATATTTTTCTAAAAGGTTTTCTTGAATTTATTCAGGGTTTCACATGCTATGGCATACTTTTAGGTACTCTTTTTATTTATTTATTTATAATCACGATACTGAATATGAAAAAAAGGAATTCTTTAATGGTGTGATTTTAAAGGAAAAGTGCAAAGAAAGGTAAATAAGGAAACGACTGTTACGAATGAGATGATTTCTATTAAATAGTTAAATTAGAGTAATCATTTATAAATTTCATTAAATGAAATTTTTTTTTTTCGGCGCAAAAACTGAAGATTTTTTTTTTATTAATTCGTGGATCCTATTTTTGATTGAAATCTGGCGTAATTAAAGTTTAAGAATCTATGGCGCCAAATAAAAAAAAAAAAAAAAAAGACAAATTTTGAGGGAAAAAAATAACTTTTTTCTTTATTTAAAATAAGAATTCATTTGCCCGGCTCGGTACAATAATTTAGTATTTCTAATGCTTGGTAAGTGAGTTATCCATATATTCAAACAAAAAGGGGTTCGTCTAACCATTTTCAGAAATTAAACGCGTTTGAAAGAAAATGATATTTCGAGTGTATACATTTGATTTATTCAAATAGGTAAACAGATAGTTGTGTAAAAGCGTGTGATTTTCTCCTGCTTTTCGTAATATTAAACCACGTGTAAATATAATAAGAACAAGAAAATGAACTAATTACATTTTAAATCATTTATCTTAATTAATCAGTTATTGTTTAATTACAAAAAAATGCTTCATTATTAACTTTCTCCGAGTATCAATATAAAAAAAAAAATTGTTGCGTAAAGGTTTTCTTTGAATTTCTTTGTTATGCCGCCATTCCAAAGTTCACCTTTGACATAAATTAAATCTTCAAAAAAGCAAGCAAGCGTGATTATACATTCAAAGAAGAAGGCAGGTTTGTGTTAAGATGACTAAGAAAAAAAAAAATGGGTTAAAAGAAAAAAAAAAAATGGTTGATTTAGAGATTTGAAAATTTTCTCATGAAAAAAAAAATATATATATATAAAAAAAAAGTTAAATAAAAATTCCCTTCAGTTATTTTTTCATGGTCACACGCAGTTTGATAAAAGTATCCCTAAAAAAAATGAAGATAATCAAAAGTGATACTAACCAATGAAATAAGATACTGTCACCGCGGGGAACATACTTTTATAGAAAATATTTTGATGTCGCGTAACACCACAAATGATTTGTAAGAATCTTTGGGAAAAAACTTGTTCCAAAATCATTTGTGATTATTAAAAACGGATCAACTTTATCCTAGTTGAGGTAAAGATTAACTTTATACATGAATACCATTGAGGAATTGCATTATGAGAAAAGTTGAAGTGATAAACACAAAAGATTGATCAAGGTTTGGCAAGTGGTAAAAAACGTGTTGTGACATTTAGGTTGACATGCGAATAGATGAATCAACAGATGCCATGTATGCTGAAAATCTCTCATTAAATTCTTTACAGGATGAGATCAATGACAATGTAATCATTGAAAATTTTCACAAGTTGAAACGGTCACCTTTGATTCGTACATTACTTTCTTTTTATCGTCATTTAGAGGGAAAAGAGAGATAAATGTTTATGCTGTTGTGATGAGCATTCAAGGGTGTCGTTTTGTGTGTGATTGTGTGCAACGATTATAATTGTTATTTTGTGAACCGTGAAAAATGAACCATTCAAACTTGTCTGTTTATACATACTAACTAAAGTAGAAATATGGTTCAAAGGATCACGAGAATTCAAAGAATTCTTATCAATTTTCCTATTGTTCGTTCATTTAACGAATCTTTTTGAGATACCCCTAAATTGGGATTATCATTGAGAAATAAAAATGATGCAAAATATAATAAATAATAACGATGATAAATTTGGTTGTGATATGGGTGTGCATAGCCGAAATTCGGAGGTAAAAAAAGTTGAACAACAACAAAAAAATCAAGAAATTATCGGCTAAGTTTTGGTAATATCCTAATATATACGTGTATGTATAAATATATAAATATATGCTTTTAATGGATGTAATTGAAAGTTAAAATAGAAATTGATTTGGTCTTCAAATCAGTGATAAGTTTCATTTGTAATATCAAGAACATTATTTCGGGTGACAAAAGATGATTATTTATAATCATTATTATGAATCATAAAGTCCGAATCCTTTTAAAACCCAAAAGTTGAAAAGAAAAAAAAAAAATTACATATTTTTATATTTTAAAAAAAAGGTGATATGATGATTTTTTTTTTATACAATGTAGCTATTGTAAAATTATTTATGTTATGCAACTAATATAAAGATCATTCAAATGTAATTAATTTAATAATAACACACATTAATTTATGACATTATTGACAGTTTTTACACTACCAAAAAAAGCCTTCCAAATTTAGATTAGATTTTCGTTTAAATGACAAGCGTGGAAAAAGTTTCACAAACATTTTTTTGAGTTTTTGGGTAATTTCTAAGTATAATAACACCTAATATAAAATACTATATTAGCATGTATTCATTATTCATTTAATGTTTGTATGAAAATTTGACAGCAAATCGTGATTCGATTTCACAACCGAAAAAATGATTTGAAAAGAGTTAGTTTCGTTCGTCGAATAAGGTAAATGATAGAACGTAATTTCTGTAAAGATAATTTGGTAGTAAATAATTACGCCTTTTGCTGCTACATGACACGCTACCTTTAAACCTTGATAGAAAGGAAAACAATAAATACAACGCCAACGCACAAGGCGTCATACGTTAGAACATAAGAAATCGAATGTGTTGCAAATCAAAATCCTGCTCGATAAAGAAAATTCTTCGGCAGATGTGTTTGACACATAAAAAAAAAAAAAATTAATTAAAAATTTAAGATTTCGTCGAATAAGACATGACACGAAGGAAAAGAAAACACACGTTTTATTGCATTTGAAATGCATGTAAAACGCAATGTCATCCCAAGCATGAAACAATGAAATGAGAACTTTTTTTAACAAAATGGAAGCAATTTTTTCTGAATTCGGGCTCATTGAGTTTTTTTTTTTTTTATATGTTGATTTCCAAACATGAGAAAGTCATATCTAGTACGTAGTAATAATCATTTTACTTTTTTAATGTAACGAAATTTGTAGTGGATAGGATAAAATAAGTTGTTAAGGTAAAGCGGGTTTCGTTTGGTAATACAACATTTGATTATTATATCTTTTTATTACATTCCGAATTTATTTATTTTATTCAAAGATAATAAAAAGAAAATAAATGCGTCACAAGTCGGGATAACTGTTTGTATGATTATAACCGTCAACATATATATAGAATAAACTCCTTACTTTTGTCATTTCCTTTGCTGCCTCCTCTCAAATTTTTTATCCTCAAAAATTTTTTACGTTTGAAAATTTCTTTTCATCTTTTTGCTTTCTATTTTCTCTTTTTTTTTCTTTCTTTTCTCTTTAATAAAGGACGATAAAACTTGCTGTACGCGTTAGCAAAACGGAAGAGTGTTATAGTAACGGTTTCATCGGAACTTTGTAGTAAAAATAACTCGGATATAAAAATCGTCTTGAATAAAAAAAGTATTATTCTTAAAGCATAAAATTCATAAAGCATAAAGTCCGTCATCTCTTCTTTCCCTGAGAGATAAAATAAATAAATGTTCTGGCCCAGTTTTATTAAAGCAACTTTATTATAAACTTATAAATCACGATCTTTAACGCGTCATATAAATCATATAAATCATCGAATATCGCGATTTCGTTTGATGCTACTAACTTTCAACTGTTTTTTTTGTTTCTCGCCACTTTTTTTTTAAAAAAAAAAACACCACACCTTTTTTTTTTTTTTGGGAACGTTTTCCTTTATATATATCTATATACTATTTATTTTTTATCTCTCTATTTTTACTGTTCTATCAAGAATAAATATACATACACATTAATTTGATTATGAGGTAATTATAATAAATTAATACTTTTTTTTTTTTTTTAATGATAATATTATTAATCGTCAAATCAAAAAAAAAAAATATCGATGCAAATTAAAAAAAAAGAAATATGCTAATAACTAATTGAATAGAAAAAAAATTTTTTTACAAAGAAAAAAAATGATGCTATAAAACAAATTTGTTTTTTTTTTGTTTGTTTTTTTTTTTTGTTTTTTTTTTGGTTTTTATTATTAGTTTCCTCTCGTTAATTAAATCTTAAGCTTAAAAAAAAAATTACTATAGATTTTTCACCCTACACGAACTTTTTTCTTTCCTTAATCATAATCTAATTTTTCTTTTTTTTTAAAAAATATATATATATCTTATTTTAACCTTATTTCTTTCTTTTCAGAAAATTTTAGTCACCAATCTTTTATCGCTTCAATTTACTTCATCTTATAAAATAAATATCATAATCATATAAAGGGTAGGGGTGTAAACATAATATTTGTCTTCTTTTACCTCTATCGAATATGAACAATTAAAAAGAAAAAATCAAAAACCACACACAGACGGTGTTTGGTTTTTTTTTTTTTTTTGGATTTAAAAAAATGTATGTGTATGATTTTTTCTTTCTTCTTTTTTTTTTTACAATCCTCTATGTGGATGAAGAATGAAAAAAAAAAATTTTTTTTTCCTCTAAAATAATCATCAAATAGATCACGACAAAAATAAATGAGAAAATGTCCTCCAAAAGACGTGAAATTTTTTGATTGAAAAAAAAAATGTACAAAAATGCAAGTGTTTTTTTTTGTTTTGTTTTAAATGCTTTTGATCAAAAAAATTGATGATTATATAATAATGTAACAAAAAATAAATTTTTTTTCTTCATGTTCTATGACGGGAAAAGAAAACAAAAAAAAAATGCAAGAGAAATGCCAAAAAAATAAAACATATGCTATGAATATAAAAAAAAAAATTTGTCTCACTATAACTATAGATGATCACACTACGAACGTAAATGAGAAAAAAAAAAACTATAAAATGAAAAAAAAACCAAACACATTGATAAAAAAAAAATTACACCACACACACAAGTTCCACGCGACATCCTGAAAACACACAAGAACGCCAACTTCACAGGCAAGTCGAGAGATAAAGATAAAAATAGATCGACCTCCCTAGTGATAGGTAAGCGCGTAAATCTTTTTTCAAACGCGTCCATCGGTTAAATCCATTGATTTGTTTGGATTGCATGCTTTAGAGAAATAATAATTTGTTTCATAAGAGACGCGTGTGGTAAGTTGTGTAATTATTATAATGATGCGTCTTTCGTGCTTATAATCTGCGGGTGACATTGAATAAGAAAAGAAGATTTGTTTAAATAAATTTGCAACATTAAGGATATTATTTTATTACAGGAATAAGAATTAAGTATATTATTATTAAATTAAAAATACATTACTAACCAGATATGGAGGTAAAATATAGAAGATTAAAAAAAATTGTTACCCTATTCGGGGTAGTTTGATAACACGTCTGATAAAATGTTGATCCGCCGCGCTTTGTGTCGGTGTTTTTGAGTGCAGGAGATTGACAAAATATTTTGAGAACCAAAGTCGGTATAAAAGGGGGGTTGACTTGGGTTAAACTCCAAATTCGTCGATGCGTGAAAACAGTTTGTGTGTTGTGTGTATAAATAAATTAAAGGTTGTGTACTAGGGGTAGTAGAATAAATGATTATGGTGCGAGCTAACATGCTGCGTCGCTTGCAATGCTTGTGAATGAATGCTGTGCGAACGTAGTGTGAGATTGTTTGTAAAAGAAAATAATAAAAAAAAAGAAAATAAAAAATATACTAAACAGTGAAATAACATATTGAGAAACAGTTAACTATATTGAATTTTTCATTCCTAAAAAAAAAATTTTTTTTTTTTTGTTGCCTAACTTAGCACTAATCATAAAATATATATAAACCTATCTAAAATCTATCTTAATTGAGAGGAAGAAATCATAATTTTAAAACGAAATGATTTTAAAAGGTTAAATATATATACATAATAAAAAGTCTTAAGAAAAAATCAATGTTATAAAGCATTGACTAATTAATAGTAAGTGTGAAAGACCCTCACGCTCATAACATAGTGTTGTAGAATATACATCATTGTGTAATGAGCACTAGGATCGAAGTATGAATAAAGTAAATTGAAGCGAAACGGGTGAAATGCATATAGGAGAGGTAGGGTGAAAAAGGTTTTTCTTAAATTTATTTATTGAAAAACATAAAAAAAATACCAAAACGGAGATAATCGAAATTCGAAAAATAAAATCGGGTTTTAAAATCGTGATAAGAAATATATCGAGTTGGTTATAAAATCATAATAACGGAAAATTTTAATTGCGATTGCCAGTGATGAAGGGATGCTATTATGAAAATTTTTCAAAAAAATCAAAATGAGTTAATTAGTTTTCGAACCTTTCTATAACTTTACGCACTCTGAATAATTACCTCCAACAATTTCTCGGCGGACCATCTATTTTCGGGGGTCCTTGCAAAACATTTTTCCAAGAAATCAACGGCTTCCCATCCAATATCGGCTTTCTTTCGGAGACGATGAAAACCGTATGGCATTTCACCCCGGCGCAATTTGTCCATGATTTCGTCATCGCGGATGCGTCCCCAGGCGGCCTTACCAGTTAAAAGCTCTAAAATGCAAACACCTATAGCCCAAATGTCAACTTTGGTATCATAGGGTCGGTCAGGTCCAACGAGAACAACATCAGGGGCCATGTATGGGATCGTGCCAACCATTGCGGTAGTCGAAGTAGGGGTCAAAGACGAAATACCAAAATCAGCTAATGAGGAGAAAAAAAGGGGGGATTATCAGTTAGATTATTTCCACACTACCGAGGTGTCATTTTTAAAATAAAAAAAAACATACCTAATTTTATTTCATTGTTTGCATCGGCCAAAATGTTTGAAAGTTTGATATCACGATGAATGACCCCATTGGCATGTAAATGTTTCAACGCGCTCAAGAGCTATTTAAATAATAATAATAATAATAATGTTAACAATGTAAGATAATAATTAAAAACCTTGAAAAAAAAAAAAAAAGATGTATTTATTTACCTCGCCGGCAATGCGTCCAACTTCCCGTTGGGTAATTTTACCAGCACGATTTGTTACATCTCCACGGGCGCACTTTTCCATTGCAATCCAAACTTCGCGTGTTTTGCCATCCCAGCGTAAGAAGCTTTCTTTGCAATCGACGATATTTTTGTGCTTGAGATTCTTAAGCACATAAATTTCATTGAAGATGAACTCCAAAGAATAGGAGAGGGGGACAATCTTGATTGCACATTCTTCACTGGGATTAGATAATGGGTGAGCGTTATAGACCTTTGCAGATGAACCTTCATCGATAACTTTTTTAATATCGTAAGTTTTGAGTGGATCTTCTACGATACTGTTTTCAGAAATCAAGCGAAGATAATGTTGCAAAGTGGCAAAAGGTTCCTTGTCGTTATTGGCCAATGGTTGAGGTGGAGGTGAAGGGGGAACAGCAGTTGAAGAGTTATCAGATGATGAGTCGGAATCGTTAGAGTTTTGACGAGGTTTACGGGTATAACCAGAGGCATTTCGACTAGATTCAGAAGCAGGAGTCGAAGCTCGAGATGTTGAAGCAGAAGCCGGTGATTTTGCTCGAGCAGTTGAAGCATTTGAACTTGGTGTAGAAGCACGGGAGTTTGGGTTTGATCGTTTGGTGTTTAACTGATGATTAACTGATGAGCCGGAAAGACGAGCCGTTGTAGCAAAAGTTGGGGATGGAAGACGAGTAACCGGGGCATTGTCGTTATTATAATTATCATGACCAGATGAAGATTTTGAGACCGAGTTGAATTGATTATCAGTTTTAATGGAGTTTTTTGTCGTATAAGAAGAAATACCGTTTTTAAAAGCAGAAGTGTGAGAGGTGACAAATTTGTTGTTGGATTGTACATAATTGTTATGATCAGCAGAATTATCAGAGTGAGTAGTGGTGACCGAGGTTGGATAGATATCATTTAAACCATTTTTGATCGGATTTTTATTTTGAGCCATGCCGTTGTTATAAGAGTTGGAGTTTTGAGAGGATGATTGACCATATGAATCGTTAGCAAATTTTTGAGAAGTAAAAGAATCAGTTCGTGTGGATGATGGAGAGGTGACCGAAGATGGATAAGAGTTATTTTGAGAGGAAGAAACCGAGAATGAAGCAGAATCGTCAGATGAATCGGAGTTAACAGATGACATTGAATCCCGATGTGGGTGATAAGAAGGATGACCATTGGAGAAATAATCTTGAGCATTAATTTGTTGTTGTTGCGATCGTTGTTTTTGGGTTGAAACTTTGCCATTAACCTTTGAAGAAACCGATGATGAAGGAAAGACCGATTGACCGTTATTGACAGTTTGACCATTTTGACCTTTAGTAGAAGCCGATGAAATTTTAACACTAGAAATTTCCTCATGAGCACTTCCGATACCGGAATCAGAGCCGATGGAGTCTACATGAAAACGTCTATTGACGCGACGTTGTGAGGATTTATCATTGTTGGGAGTACCGGAGACGTTGGCCGCAAAATTTTTAGGGGGGGTGGTACCAGCCGAGGCAACCTTAGCAACGGTGGCAAAATGGGGTTCGATCGGGTTAACGGGAGTCCAATTTTTTTGTTGACAAGTTTTTGGTTGGGGTGGTACATAATCAAATTCATCGTCTTCATCTTCATCATCTTCCTCGACGATGGCATCCAAGTCGTGTTTAGATGAAGCATGAGTTGACCATTTATCAAAATCGCTGACAGATTCATCATCTTCGTCGTCAGGACTGTCATTTTCGGCGTCGTCGTTCTGATGATCTTCCGTCATTCCAAGTTGATTACGTTGATTATTTACGTTGGTTCCATCATCATCATCATCCTCCTCGTCGTCATCGTCCGATTCAGCTGAAGAGGTGGCGTCAAATTCAGAATCCGCCTGATCATCCGAAGTGACCTCTTGTTCAAAAATAAACTCATCGACCTCGCTATCTTCAGATTCTTCCATGACAGCGTTTAAAGCAGCATTTTGTTTTCTCATGAGACCCAAAGCCTGACGATCACGAGATTCTACATTTCTATTTAACATTTCGTTTCTCCCACCGACCATCGAAGGCTCATGACGATTCATAGCGGCCGGAGATGGCGCAGTAGGTCTCGGCGGATGCAGTTCATCCTGAGGAGGCGTTTTCTTATTAGCCGGGATCAAATTCCCACGAGCCTGGGAAACCACATGAGGGCGAATGGGTGGGCTATTGTTAACCTTTGTAGGGTTATTGGCTTTTAAGAGCTCCTGAGACTTCAATTTTGACGTGACAAAAGAAGTTTTTGGAGATGTCATGGGGGAATCAGAAGGAATTGGTGATGAAGATTTGGAGGAATTAACATCCAAAGGAGATTTTGCAACAGATACGGAGGAAGCAGATTCACCACGAATTCTTTGGATATTATTCACCACAGAGCTAATCATCCTGGTTGGTTCATTGACAATAGATTCCTTCTTTGCCTTCTCCTCCTCAATATAATTTCTCATGATGTCATTTTCCAATTTTAATTCACGGTTACGAGCTTCAACTTGGCGAATGCGTTCCTGAAACGCTTCAACGAGATCTTGATATTCTAACAATTCGGAATCCCTTTCACGTAACAAGTCTTCATGATCCTCCAATTGTCTCCTCAATTTTCTATTTTCTTGACGCAAAGCACTCTCAGGAGAGGCAGCACGTACGTGGGAACGAGAGTGAGCTGAATGAGCAGCTGAAGCGGGGGGAGAAGCCGCACGTACATGAGCACGAGAGTGAGCGGAATGAGAGGCCGAGGCGGCACTTACGTGGGAACGAGAGTGAGCGGAATGAGCGGCTGAAGCGGGGGGAGAAGCTGGTCGACGAGCATTTTGCGTAGTTGATGCTTTTGAAGAGACCGCATCAATTTTCTTTTTATCAGCCTTCAAGATGCCTGCGGGTTGAGTAGCATGTGGGGTAACTGGCCTTTTTTCAGGACGAGTGGATGACTGACCATTAGTAGCACCAGAAGACTTTTGTTTTAAACTTGGTGGTGGGGAAACTGGTGGTGAATCATTTTTTGTCTTTTTAACCGTTGTTGTTTTACTGGGGGGAGCCTGAACATTTGGCTTTTTCTTTTCAACGGTGTTCTTTTGTCGATTATTATGTGGAGTTGAAGGTCTAGTTGATGATTGGGCAGCCTAATAAATTTTTTTTTTCATAAATGATAGTTAATAAATTTGTTGCAAAATTTTCACAATCTACCTTGACATTTTATTATTCACCTTCGTTGCTCCTTTGATTGTAGTTAGGTTCCTTTGTTCATTTTGTAGAATTGGATTTTGTTCCTATGATAATACAATAGAGGATGGGGTTTTAGCATACATACCTATATATATTAAACTATATGCATATGCAAGGACATGTGCAAGTATAAAAAAAAAAAATTGATGGGGATTTTACCTTCCAAAGAATTGACATTGTGTTATACATGCTGGTGGGATTATTTTTAGAATTAGTAGTGGCGCCCTAAATATGTCATTATTAAAAAAAAAAAATTTAATTTTAAAAAAAAAAAAAAAAAAAAAAAATTGGTTAATAATTATTTAGGAAAGTCGAATGAATATTCCCTTTCTAATAAAAGGAATTGACTCATTCAAAAAAAAAATTTGTTTTTTTTTTTTCAGGTCACGCTTTATGAGGATCTGCAAATGATTGGCGCAGAAACGACTTCAACAAAAAAAAAAATCATTTACCTGTCTACTGTAACCACCCCTTTCATCGTTATTAAAACTACCCATACCGTTTGGCGAGTATGGATAGTGGTCTGTTCTCGTAGGTGATGTACTAATACTATGGCGCACGGCAGATTGTAAAGTAGCCGGCATTATCTGTATTCAGTAGTATAATGAAGATTTTTGAAGATTTATTTATATTATTAATTAATGGTTTGTTTTTTTTTTTTTTTTTTTTTTTTTTTTTTTTTTTTTTTAAAAAAAAAAAGATATTGAGGTCTTAAAAAAAAAAAAGGAAATGTATATTTATATAACTTTGTCTGTTGACTTGCACAAATAAAAAATTGTTTTAAACGCACCAATTGTTTTTAAATATATCAACCCCGGGGAGTAAAGAAAAGAGGGTTGATTCAATTAAATGGATGATAAATCGATCGAGCGATTTGTGTGGAAAATGAAGAATCGAAATAAAAAGAAAGAGAAGATTTTAAGATTTTAAGATAACTTGTAAAAAAATAGAATCGCGTTTTTTTATTTTTGAATAAAAAGTTGAAAGAAAAAAAAATTACGAGACAAAACACGTGAATTCTAACGAACCACAAAAATTAGGGAAGAGTTTGAAACAACTGAGAAAAATCTCATCGAGATAACGATAGAACGAGTCAAGATAAGGGTGAAAAGGAATATCCAAACGAGAAAAAAAAAAAAAAAATATTTTTTCTTTTTTTTTTTTTTTTTCGAGAAAACCGTATCAATTTGTTACAAAACGCAGACTAACCTTGAGAGATATCCTTTAGAAGACTGCACTATGTCCGTCTTTACTTAATGTTGTTATTGTGTGGTTGTGTTTTAGTCACTATCCACAAAAATTCAATAGTTATAATCTAAAATATTTTTTTTTTTAAAAAAAAACAAGAAAGAAACGAAGATAATTTTTTCAAAGCAAATTTTTTTTTTATATATCAGATAATATTGAAAATTCGTAGACAACTTTTTTGACCTTTTTATAATATTAAATTTATAATAACAATATAAATAAGATAAATATATCTATCTATTTAAGTATTATTTATATTGTTATTGTATAACGGTATATCAAAATTTTGATTATAGATGATTATATCGGTATTATAATTATTTATATTGTTGTAATTCAATATAAATAAGCACAATTTTTTTTTTTCAAATATTAAAAATTCATTATTACGCAGTCCTGATAATTTAATCCTAATATAAAATAAGAATTATTTTTAAATATACAAATATATATATTTTATTTAAAAAAGATCTAATAAATTTAACTGTCGACAAATATGCAGAAAATTGTTTACAATATTTCGTGGGCATCACAATACTCATTTATAAGAAAGTTCATCGAGAAGAGATAAAAAATCTCTCCTTCTCTCTTCACTCTCTCACTTTCACTCTCACTCACACTCTTTTTCGAATATAAATCAACAGCGTCGCTCTCATACCGTTCGTGTTCAATCATATTATTTTTTTTTTTTTTCAACAGGAAATTTGTGTTGACAGGTTACATAAAACTCACAATGTTAAAAAATAATACATGTAGTAATACTAATTTTAGGCTTGGGATTATATATGAATCAAGTGTAACAAGGCAAATTTCGGGATTAGTTTGCAATATAAATGCAGGTTATTCTACTTATTATGGGTCATATGAAATCATTAGCATATGAATTTTCGGATATAATAAGAAATCATTTTTTAAACAATATCATAAATTCGAGAGCAAAGTAGCGACCAAAGTGCGAGCATCAAAAGAACGAGGATAATGACTTCTAAAAAGGACGTAAGACCAAAGGGCCCTTTATTCATGTGTGGATGAATCATTTTCCGCAGGAATTTATAACATCTGTTGGCAACAAATCATTGATGTAGTGTAATATTATGATAAAGTTTTCTCTCCCTTTCTTTATTTTATTTTATTTTTTATTTTTTTTTTTATTCTCAATTTATCCGATTTCATTTGTTAAAAGTTATCATCTTTTTGAGGATAAAGAACAATGTAATGAAATAAAAAACAAACTTCATACAAAAATGAAAAACAAGAGTCAGCAGATGGATGAAATGAGAAAGGACACGAGCACAGTGATTAACACCTGCAATGTGCAGTACAACAGGATTTCGAGCGAGAACGAACTTCAATTAGAATTACTTTATTAAAGTTTGAAGGAATGAACATTGTAATTCCTTGAGAAAGGCATGAAACAGGTTTGAAGCCTTTTTTTTTTTTTGCGGAAATTTTTGTTCGTGCATCTTGGCAGGGTAATTGTTAAACGAAAAAAGGGTAAGACCAAAAAGTCTCATTTCATTTTATATAGATAAATAAAGTAAAAGATCAACAAGCCTTTTCTTTCTACATATCATAGCCATAAAAATTTAGATGTCCACAACAGCAGAAAAAGAGAGAGAGAGCAAAAAAAAAAAAAAAAAAAAAAAAATAAATAACCGGATGTATGCTTATCTTTTTTTTTTTTTATTAAAAAAAAAAAGACTCTTAAAGACAGAAAATAATGGATTGGGCAATTGTATTCGGAAGATATCCTTTGAATGTGAAGTGGCGTAGAACATTCATCTGTATTTGTAATTTGCAGATTTAATTTAAATTTAAATATCGGTTGTTTTTGTAAAAAAGAATGACATTTCGGCTGATTTTGTTTAAAAAAAGAAAGATTGCAAATTTCAAAGAAAAAAAAAAAAAAAAAAATTTTTTTTTTCATCTTATCATTTTCCAATCTTGGTCACTTGCTCATTGAGAAGCGCATAAAAAAACATGAAAGGTGGAACGGAATTTTCGTTAGCAAAAATTTTTTTTTTGACATTCAAGCATGGTTTTGGGAAAAATCGATTAGTTATTATATAGTTTAGAGTTAATATTTTAAATGCAGGGCATAAAAACGAACGTGGCGGGTAACATTTGCTGAATCGAATCGGCATTGCCGAAGTGATCATCAAGAAAAAAAAAAAATCTCATTAAGATATAGATACATACAGCTTAATATCAATTAGCCATAGATTAAGGATAATATAATTTTTGACAACTAAACCTTCTAAACTTTACAGCAAGATGCGAAATTTTGTGAAGTGTAAACATGAAATAAACAAACAAACATAACAGCAACCAAACCTAGACATACGGAGGGAAAAAAAAAAATAAAAAATTTTTTTTTAGAGATAGGAAAAATTAATAAGGGCGCGATATTTAAATAAGATATGCAAAACAATATTTTTATTTTTATTTTTTTTTATTTTTTTTGGGGAATTTATTTAAAAAATAATAATCTCTTTTACGTTCAACTAAGATAAATATTGCCGAATGTTTGCATATTTCTCCTACCAAACCATGCTATTTAGTCGAGGGGGTCGTATAAAAGAGGCAAGATGTTTAGTAAACAATCGCCATGAGTGTAAACAAATGATAAACAAATCCCATTTTGAAATTTTAGAATTAGTATATACATATATTAAAAAGAGTAATTTTCTCTTGAATGATCTCAAAGAAAAACCTGCTTCCTGCATATCTCCTTAATCTCCTTTTTGACATTGGTTTACTTTTTATAAAATACGATCCCTTTTCAAGTTTCATTTCATCAATGATAATTTGAGATGAATTTATTTTATTTAAGCAACTTGTTTACAACCTCGGTTCATTCGGTAACATACATTCCATGCCACAAATATGTTATTCGGTTATGCTCTTTCTCTCCATAGTAATCTCTCTGAAATTCATTTTGACAATTTTTGGTCGTAAGGTAACAAAAAAAGAGAGAGGGAGGGCTTTTGCCACAAAAATTCATGATTTTCATATTCGGTCCTGCAGGTTTTTCTTAGGTATTTGTCGATGATGATGTCATTACCTAGTATTATTATCCAACCGCTTTCGGAATGTCATTTGAAACAATCAAGAGTTGAATTTGGGTGAGTTTAAAAACGAAAAAAATGGTAGTTTTAAATTCCTTAAAAGGATAGTGACTTCCATTGTTTATCGTTGTAACCTTTCTTTGCAGAATCTGTCAAATATGTGATAGCCGATTATTTACAGTTTTTTTTTTTAATAATATAAAATACACACTGTATGTATAAATAAATATGTATATATATATATATATATATATATTTCAATAAGCATATCACTTCCAATTAATTATTAATAATTATCACCAATTAAAAAATCAGGCGAATCAGGCCTGTACACACAATCGACAATCATTCTAATCATTCTGATAAATCACACGCGATTTTTGCATCCTCTCGTGGCAATGTTGCATCAAACATAACTCGGTCACCAACCAACACGGGTGATATCAACATAAACTAACTCTTTATGATATGATATAAAGTTTTAAGACCTTTCATCATGGAATACCCGATTGACGAATAAGGATAATCACAGGATCACACCTTTTGATATTTTATTGACTCGACTCCCCCTTGTTGGCTTTCTCTATTGTTCTCTCGAGAAAAAGTTCCCTTAAAAATATCGTATCACCATACCCAACGCTATTTCCACCCGCAGTATCATGAAACTTTGTGTATGTGATTGGTGCATACAATTAAAGCGTCTCATGCAGATGTCACTTGCCATTTTATCTCATGTAACAGCCACAATAATTTGTACGTTTTAAAAAATTGTTGCTTAAATTCTTTCATACATATGTCAAAATCATTTTCGTCTTAATAAGGGCCGTTATGGTTATATTAGTATTATATTAATGTCTATTGTCGTATTGTGATTAAAAACGGTTTTATTTAAAAAAAAAAAAAAAATATTGAAAGTGAAAATGAGAATGAAAATGGGATGGAATGGAATGGAATGGAAAATTTGCTCAAATAAATCGAAAACATGTCAAAATGAGCTTGCATGAACTCCGTAAATATTTGATGTAATTAAATATTTAAATTTCAGGCGGCGCAGCAATTTCTTTTTTATTCCAATTATGATTATGACTACCTTTTTCTGTTCATCATTTTAAATTCAAACCAGTCATTTTTTGAAAAAGAGTCCCTGCATGAAATCATGAATAACAAACGATCTTTTAGTGGTCCCAAATGTAGTAACATACATCGTACAAGCCGTTACCACTTTTTGAAATGACCCAAACTCTGAATATACGGAACGGAAATCCCCCACCTTTTCAACATGAAAAATTTAACTGGTTTGAAATCATATTGTCGTGTTACCAAATAATAAATTCATGGTAAACTCTTGAAAATGATTTTCATCAAAAATTTTCGTCCCTTTTGATATAATAATAATAAATTGTACAATAGGGATCAAATTGGCCTCTTTTTTTTTTTTTTTTTTTTTTTTTTTCTATTTCAAACATTTTTTATCATTTTTTTTCATGTGGAAAATTTTATATTTTTAAAAAAAAAACACTATTTCTAATCGAATTACTATAGTATCATAATAAGCCAACGGGCATAAGCAAACAGCTTTGCAACAAAGGGGACATGCACATCCTATTGTTCTCTAATAATTACACATGTGTTGTGTTGACTATTTTTGTTGCCGAAATATTTACATGCGCAATTTGGTAAATTACTGCGGATTTGCTGCGCCACCAGTTTTCTCATCTTCCCTCCTTTCCTTTCATTTTCATTTTTTTTTTTTTAAAAAAAAAGGAAAAAAAAAAAAAATTACGTATATGCGCAGTCAAAGGATTCTCATGATCGACATCATATAATTTTTAACCTTTTTCATTTCTGGTTAACAGCTCTTTAATATAATGTGAATGCAAAATGCGACGTGGGTTGATCTTTCAATCAAATGATTTTTTTTCACAATAGATATTATAACAATTTACGTTCAAATTTTTTTTTTTTTTTTTTTTTCTTTTTCTTTTCGCATCCTTTGTTCATCGAGCCGATTTTTTTTTTTTTTTTTTCTTTCAGTAATATAAATATTTTAAGAGATTCTTTTATAAATAAAGAGGTGATCCCTAGTTTGTTTTAATTTTTTAATATTACAGTACATTAATTACATTTCATCAAAATCTCGTTGAGATGATATGATCCATCGATTTGCGCGCACATTTACCTCTCACATAATATTATAACGTCAAAATTTATTTTTGAAGAATATGTAAATCAATATCCTTTGTTTGTACCTGTTACAATTTTTTACTTACCTATTTATTTATCTCTTGTATTTTTAATTTTATCATCATTCATCCATCAATCATTTTGGATTTGTTATTATATGCGCTACCTTGTAAATTAATGCATATTTGTTTTAAACTTTCTTAATTGAAGCTCCCTGCTTTTTTTTTTTTTTTTTTTTTTCCTGACGGATTCAAAAAAGAGCGTTTGGGGATCGAAATTTTCTCGAGATGATTTTTTTTTTTTTTTTTTTTTTTTTTTTCCCTCCCTCTCAATAAATACATAACGGATCGGATATTTCTTTGCCAAACAAGGTTCAGTCATTTACATTTCCCATTAAAAGGAAATCTTTTCAGCCTGCTGCACCGAGTTAAGGAAAAAAAAAACTTTTTTTTCTTAATGATACTCCGTGTCACATTGGACTCTGCTACCGCATGATGAATAATGAATCATACAAGCATGGAAAATCTTTTTGTGAGATCATTGCAATTATCTGATTTTTTGCTATATCCTTGAACGGTGTGAACTCCGAGAAAGTCAAGCATCCGTGTATATGCGTGTAAGCTAAGAGTTTCTAAACTTAAACCTACCGTGTGTATACACACACACACATAAACACACTTATGCACCAAAAACCAACTAATTGATTACAATGGGAAATTAAAATAGTCCTAGTTGATAAAGTTTAAACTCTATTATTACACATACATTTAACTTATTTGGTTATTATTATTGAAATCGTTTTCCGACTGGAGGCTTTTTCGGAAATACGTGATCGAATTCTCCTTATGAAAGTCGGTCATCAATTCGACGGGTTAACCGATTAGTTTGTCACCGGTTTTTAAAACAGATGCCAATTGTCCAAGACAAAGAGTCATTCGCATAATCGTATTCTTTTCAAACTTGAAACCGTTGCCCAATTACATTAAAACCGTACATCTCTATTGTTGAACTTTGATCAAAAGTTGTTAAATATTGTTTAAAAAAAAAAAAAAAAAACCGATGGATTCATAAAAAGCAAAAAGAATAAAGATAAAAAAAGCAATCACACATTTTTCTTTGTCGCGTACATCTTTTTTTTTTATGAATGCAAGCAAAAGCACAATTTGTAAACGCAACAATCTCGAAACCCGTCCGAACAATATCTTGCAGCATTTTATTTATCCTCGCACATTTGTCTCACTTTTTGGGGGTGCTTTATTTTCAAACATCTTTTTTCCTCATTTTAATCAAGGCTTCGTAACACAATTTCATAAATGAATCAGCAGACAAACAAGTTCTTTTATTCTTTGCTTCCCACATATCTATCAATATCTGTCTGCATAATAGCAAACTGTGAGCAATCTCACATTATTATTTTTTTTTGTTTTAAAATAATAAATAATACATCAATATTATCTCTAAATCTCTAAATCATGATCATTACACTTTTCACGTACTTATTGGGCTCTCATTTAAGGTAAATCAATTTTTTTTCTTAAAAAAAAAAGAGATAAAGATTGAAGATAAAAAAAAAAAGATAAAGTATATTTCTTTATTTATACATTACATTAATCTCCTCTATTGTATCAAAAAATAAAACAATTTAAAATTATTTTTTAAATCTAAATTTGTTTTATATTTATTTTTATATTTTGATCCATTTATATTTACCTTGATCCTCATTTTGTTACGTTTAACCCTTCCAAAGGTCGAAAATTTTGTGTAATCGATCACGGGACGATTCACAAAGCCATTGTTCGTTAGCACGGTCGCACCAATGAGATTGAAGTCCACCAAAAATTTTCAATTACCCCTTAAAGTCATTCTGACCTTAGTTAGTCAAGGAAATATTAAACTTTTAATGGAAAAAAAAAAAAAAAAACTTGTCGGACCTTTTTTATAATTTTTTTTTTTTTTCCCTTCACACTTCATTCATTCGTTATTTTGACATTTTTGACAGAGGGACAGCCTTTTGATCTCAAATGACAGAAACTTGTCTTTCTTAGATGATACCGCCACGCGATAAGATGACACGAGACCACGCAACAAACATAAGCTAATCCTCCAATGAGATGATTGATGACAAACAGGTTTACAATATTATTAAGATATTCCAAAAGGTCTTTGAAATCCGGTTATGAAAATAAACAAATAGGTATTATAAGGTAAATAGTGATGCAGGCAATTATGATTAATAAAATGTTGATGATGCTGATTTGTTTACCAAAAGAAAATTTGAATTTCAAAGAAAATTTAAAACATCAATGACTTACATCAAACTACGTTTATTCTCACCTTAATAAGCGTTTACGTGCAGGTGGTCCATAAACCTGGGATTGCTTACCTACCAAATGTTTAAAGAATAATAAAAAAAGACGATGCATTAAAAAGTAAACAAATGCGTCGTATCACTTTTTTCTTTCCCCTCTGGCGAAATGTGAACTTAAATGAGTAACTCTTGTGTCGGATTTAATTTATTTTTAGGAAAGTTGATCTTTACAACGCCCTTCATCCAAACAAATAATGCTCCTTCTTCAACGAAATGGTGACCCACTCCTTTTGAGGAGCAAGGATGTCGCTCACTCACCACTGACCACCCCCATGCAAGCCGATTATCATCCTTTGTGGTTGATCATTCTCTAACCGTGTATGTGCTTCATTAAGAATTTCTCCTTATGAAAAAAAAAAAAAAATGGTTTTTTCCAACAGCGGTCAATAAGAGTCAACTGCAACGTTCGAGCCCTTTCTATATTTGGAAATCCCAATAAATAAATCGGCCAAGGACAATAAATTTAATATCGAGATAATTTTTTTAATATTACATACATACATACATGAACATTTATTATTACCATTTGTTCATTAACAACGAAACGAGTTTTTGTTCTTTCTTATTTCACTTTTGACGGATATGTTTGCTTTTCTTGGGTTACAAAATTTCTGAAACAAACACTTAATTTCCATTGAAAATATCAATTTCATGTATGGTAAATCCCTTTTTTTTTTTTTTGACAAGTACTTTTTCTTTCTTTTTTCTTTTTTGAGGTGCATATTCTTCCTTGTTTGGGATGAATTATTGAATTCGCCTTTTTTGTGCTTTCTTTTCTTATTTACTTAATTAGCCGAAGAAAATGATTTAGAATATTACCATAGCGTAACATGTCATGTCTTTATATGATGGGTGTTCTTTATCGTTTCGTGTTGGTGTATTTGATGGACGTATGCGATGCGCAAAATAAAAAAAATGATGTCAGGAGTGTCGGTGCCTTGTCAAGTTCGGAAAAAGGATTCAATTTTATGGAAATCAAATGGATCTGGATCTTGCGAGAAGCAAGAAATTTTGATCATGTGAGCGTGTTTTATGTCGTTGGCTGATCCTCATATATTGATGTGATCAATCAAGTCATAATTTGATGTTACATTTGACGTTATGGTTTATTTATTGGATTGAATGTGTAAATGAATTTTTGTTTCAGTACCTTTGACATGAGCTGTCATTTTAAATAATTATTATTAGTTTTTAGAAAATAAATTTTTTTTTTTTTTTTTGTAGCATTGGTTTTAGGTTTTAGGTTTTGGTTTTGGTTTTATTGTATTGACGTATGTATAAACTTAAATTTACCAATATAACCAAAATTATAACATCAAAAAATCAACTTTTGGGGATTGTTTCACCCTTTTTTGATGGAGTAACCTTGATTGACAATAATTACAAAATAAGGAGTTATAAAGATTATTGGAGTATAAAATTTTGTGTTTCCACAATTCCCACAACGTTCATTCTAATCAGATAAAGTTGATTTTTATTTTATTTTTATTTTATTATTCAAACATCTCGTTTTGTCACAATACTATTGTAATATTTCTTATTAAGACAACTTTAATTTTTTTTATTTCTTATTGTTGGATACCCTGAAACAAAATGTCCCCAACAAAAAAAACTTGAAATCACACTGGTTTTTATCTCACTTTTTTCACAATCACTTTTTCAAACACAAGAATAAAAAAAAAAAAAATGCTCTCTTATCAAAATAAATAATAACAATAATAATAAATAAACAAAAAACAAAACCTTAAAGAACAATGTACTATTTACATCACTATTATTCGAAAATTCCTGAAATTTACTCAAGGGAAGGAGGATAGAAAGAGAGAGACAGAGAAATTGAAAATATAATGAAATTTATGGCGTAACCTTAAAATCAAAATCGAAATGATTTCATTTATTGGCTTAAAATTTTATTTACATTTTTTTGTTGAATCATTTTTTAGTTTGTGATGTGCAAAGGTAAATGTTCAGCCCAATTTTTTTTTTACAAATATTGTTGTTGTACATTTCAAAGGGAAATTCATTGAGTACTCAGTCATTAAACCTTTTTTCATTTATTTTTTTATTCCTTTATTTTTTCTCTCAAATCCGGTGTTAACCGAGGAGACGAATCCTTAGAATCACTACAAAATGATCATGGTTGCTATATTTATAGGGTCACATGAGATCAATAAAGCCGAACTCTGGTCCCTTTACTATCAATACAAATTCGAACTCTTGGTGGACAACTTAGGCATCGGGTGGCCCTAGGTTTATGTATCTAATGCGTGTCACGTGACATAAAAATAAATATTACGCCAGAGAACGAGTTTATTTAAAACAAACGCGTCCGCCGACTACTCGATATGGTTAAGCGGGTCTCATTCTAATTAGCTGTCAAATACGCGTGATTAGTACGAGCACAAGTTATCCAAACGTTTTGAATATATAAACATTTTTGAAGATAAAATATTATTTGCTAACGGTGATGTCCACAGATTGCCCAATGCGTCCGAAATGATGCTTGTAATAATTTTTTTTTATTTTTTGTTTGAGTATGATAAATATTATTATTATTTTTTTTTTTTTTGACAACCGCAATGTTTACCCTTAAAGTTTCTAAACAAACCACCATGACTATTAATTTAAATTACTAGTCATTTCTTGTTTAGATTTAAACTAGATTTTTATCTTGTACCTTGATCTACTTTTTTTGTTGGCGTTATACGGTAATTATATTTATGGTAGTATTGAGCGTTATTTGTTCAAGGCCACGCTAAATAAGATCAAGACCATTCGGTCTGTTCGGTCCGATATGTTCATTCACCATCACCATTTACCGATTTACCTATTACGCGAATATATTGGTAGGTAAAATGAGCTGCTTTTAACTGAAGTGACCCTAAGGTCTAGTAATCGGATGTATTGCAGAGCGCATTGATCAATGAAAAAGTTGAAAACTAATTCGATTACTATTTATAGCATTCATTATGTTTATTTCATTCTTATTTCCCTCCCAAATAATATCTCTCCACATGTTTGCCCTTTTTTACATCAATGTGGCACAACCGAATAATGTTCCAAGGAACCCTCCTCTCTTCATTGAAAGATCAAAAAAATTATTATTCTACAAGACCTTGAGATATCTTACTTTATTTTTATTTTTATTTTATTTTATTTTTTTATGTTTTAGGGATAATGCTTTTTAGGCGTATAATGATACCAACTTTCATTGGGTGGGAATCATTTAGCAATGGGATTCGTTCGATTATCAATTAACGTATTATCGGTTACATTTTGCTTGTCACAATGTCAACGATAATTCGTTCCCAAAAGTAGTACATGTATGAACATCGACCAGAACCATCAGAAAAATTTTCGAATCTTTATGTGAACACTTTTTTTTTATTTTGTGTAATGAATGAATCATGGAGGATATTATGATTATTATGATTATGATTATTATTATTCAGCTAGATTATTTTTTTCTTTGATGATATTTAATCAATCTTTATTCAACGTTTTCCCTCCTTAATATTATTATGAACAAAGTTTCATTACCTAAACAATTATTCATCACCAATTTTGACACGTTTCATTTCATTGGTTCTCTATCAAGCTACAAAAGGGGTTAAAACAATATTAATAAAATATTTAATTTTAATAAGGGGGTGAGTTTAAGTTACCTTTGGATTTTTAGTCATGTTTATGTTTTCTTTTTTTATGTCGGTATCACTTTGATAAAATCTAATGTAAGGGACAAAATGAAACGAGTCATTTTCTTTTTGTAAAAGAAATGAGAGGCTTGTAACTTTTTTATTTTTATTTTGTTGTTACATACAAGGAATGAATTACCTTTTAATTCGTCATTAACCATCGCAAGACAAATTTGTTCTTTAACCACAAATGGTAATCAACAATTATTAAGGATTTAGATTATTAAACAACACGCGATAATATAAATATTATCATTTTTTTTTTTTTTTACGATCAAAAAGATGACGAAAATATTTTTTCACAATTCTCTTCTTTAATCTTTCTCATTACGTAATCCGAATTATTCCGTCAGTAGAAAATAACAAGTTTAATTTCTGTTTTTTTTTCTTGAAAGAAAAACTCATGGGGAAAGTTTTAAAGGGAAATTATTTGGCCAAGCCACTTTTGTAATATTTACGATGCGCATGGCATTCTTTATTTTAATCGGAAATTACACATGAAGAAATTCATCAAATATATAAACTTTTTTGTAATGTCGTAAAACATTAATTATTTTGAAATACGCAATCTTACAATCTCATTCAAATAAATTGACAAAAATGAAATTAAAACAACAATTGAACACATTGTTCATGTTTAAAAAGGGGGGGGTCAGTTAATCTGGGATAAAAAAAACCACCACCACCAACTCTATTTTTAATAATTGCTTGTGACGTACCTCAAATAACGCTTAGCCCTTCAACCTTTTTTTTTTTTTTTTTTGAAACAATTTAAAATTTCTTCAATTCTTTTTCTTTTTTTTAATTTTTACCCCACAAATAATCTCATGCTTAAAGGGATCTTGGTAAATCCCACGTGTGAGCATTTTTAATTTTTCTTTCGGTTATTAATTAACTCTTTCACAAGTAATTCATATGTAAATCAAAGATTGAAATGTAAATTTCTTTGATATTAATTTGAAAGTCATTTACTATATATCATTTATTAAAGTTAAACCTTTTTTTTTTGGCGGGAAAAAAAAAATAATTTTTAAATTAATTCTTCATTCTCCTTTACATTATTTTTATGTCATGATGATATAATAATAATAATAATAAAATTACAATCAAGATCGGAAGATCCCAATAAAAGATTTTCTATTAGGTAATCAATGTAAAGATCATTTTTTTTTTTTTAATTTTTGAAGTAAATACAATTTGGCGGGAAAACTCTAATTTCAAGTATCTGAGAATTATTAATTAATTATAAAATTCAAAAAAAAAAAATTCAAATAAATAAATAATAAAAAAAAAATAATAAATTTTTTTTAAAAAAAAAAACAGTAAATCATCGCAAAGCAAACGAATTGTTTGTATTTGAAAGTGAAAAAAAAAAAAAAAATTTAAAGTTCTGCAAAGATTATGTTCGTTTCAAGCACAATAAAAACTTGCAAGAAAGTCTTCATCAATGTACGGCACGTGATTTTTAGAGCACTTTGGCCTGTATCAATGATTTTTCTTAACTTCAGCCCGAATTATAAACATTCACGTTATGAACATTCCAATTCGGGAATATACGTTTTATCAATCTCATTTTATAATCGGTAAAAAGGTATAAACATCAAATAATATTCTGTACAAGCGCATTCATGGAATCTTGGGAATCATATTTAGAGAATTTAGGGAAAGTCGCGGTCTGATATCTTTGGAGAAAGAAAGTTGGATCCTTTATCTAGTTCCCGTCGCAATCTGAATCAAACCGTCATGCCCGTCTAATATTCGCGTCAACTAGCGTAATTCCCGATGATTTTACCATTCTCACGACACGAGCATGTGACCTCCCTCATACGTAAGGAATATTGTCATCGAGGTTTCTAAATGCACATATTGTTGAAATATCTATTACCAGAAGAGATACTGCAACGCCAGACAATTTTGGGATATCTCCTATCTGTCAATTGGTAAGAAAAGTAATAAGAAAAAAAAATAGATATTAAATTATAAAACTACTGATTGAAAATCTAAAAATGATTACTTGTATCATAGTTTAATGGCCAACAAATATAGAAATATTCTTTTTCTTATAGTAAGTAAAAAATTTATTACAAAAGAATAAAATAATTAAATGATTAAATGAAATAAGAATTCATAAAATGAAATATTAAAAATTATAAAATTATAGATATTTTAATATAAATAACATAATTCTATTAAAAATAAATTATATAAAATTATATAAAAGTAATATAGTCAATCTCTTTAAATACATCACTTTTGGAACTATAGTGAAAATTTTAAAAAAATGCATTTAAAAAAAAATATTTATTTAATGAGAAAATTTCTATATAATTTCTACATATTTAATATTAAACACAAGCATGCATTTAAAAAAATATATATATTTAATGAAGAGAGAGTTAACTGTAATACTATAAAAAAAATCTATTTATAAATTATATTTATTAAAACTTTTTAAAAAAATTATAATTATTATAACAATTCTTTTAATAATAATTGATAAAAATAAAACAAGAAAATACAAACTATTATTGAAGTAATTAAACTTTAATATATTTTAAATTTATAAAAGCACACTTGTAATATATGACAGGTTATACCGACTATATTGTTTAAAAAATATGATTAAATCAAATTTTATAAGTAAAACCTCTTTTAACACTCTAAGTAAACTTTTAGAATAAGTAAAAAAATATATTTCTATATAAATTTTAAAGTCAAATATAAGTTTTATTAAAGTTTATTTTGAAAAAAAAATTTTTTATATAAATTATCTATAACGTATTTGTTAATTATTTTATCAATCATTTCTAAAAAAGTATTTCAAAGTATAGTATTATTAATATAACTTGTTATATATTATATGAATACTTTATAAAATAAGTATTAGATAATTATAACATAAAGTTTTATTAATAATATATTATAAAACTTTAAAAAATAATTATGTAAATTTGTATTTAAAATATATAATTATAAATTTTTATTCAAATATAATTTAACTTATTAAAAATATTTTAAAGATTAAAGATTTTTTAACTTGTAATTTAATTTAATTTGACTTATTAGAAGGTTTAATTATAATTTTTTAAATTAGAATTAATAATAAATATTAAATTAATTAGAATTTATATAATAATATTAAATAGAATTTTTTTACTTAAAAATACTTTTTATAATTTAATATCTTTAATAAAAATCTTTATAAAATTATTATTTTTACATAATAAATAAAATATATTAAATGAAAATAAATTTGTATATTTATAATAAATCATTTTTTTTTTTTAATTAAAATACTAAGTAAACTATTATTAAAAATATATTTTTTCTATCATATTAAATATATTATTAATTAATTTTTATAAAATTCTTTTTATTTTCTTTTAGTTATACTTTTTACATTCACAAAATTTTTATAAAAATCAAAACAATTATTCTAAAAGTATTATTAAATTTAAATATTAAAATTATCTATTTATATTTTAAATTTTTTTAATATTTTATACTTAAGACTTTAATTGTATATCTAAATATAAAA